GGAATTTTCTTTCGGCCCCTGGAAAGAAAGAGGAAGTTGTATTCAAGGAGAAAAGAGGAACTTCCCATATGAGTAAGCATCCCTGATTTCACCTTCTTCCACCTTGAACTACAACCATGAGGTCCTGTAATTGTTTGAAGGGCAAAGCTCTTTCAAGTACATCCTTTGGTTTGAATGAAGAAATCAAAACAAAGAATTTTTGCTATCTGTTTTCCTCCATGGCTGTTGGTAACCCATTCATAAGAAATATTTTGAGTCAATTCCTTAATGCATTGTCAATACCATAACGAAAATTACAGATCAGTTCAGTTTCAGAAAAAGAAGCAGCACTTAAAGGCAGGGATAAAAGCCTTCAATGTGTGATACAAACTACTGGATTTCTCTGACTTCAAGAAAGAGAAAAGTATATACTGATATTGATATACTGGAATGAATATCCCGGTCTACTATGTCTGATATTAGGTTTTTGTCCTGTAAAGTCCAAGAATGAATTTTAGGAACAACAGAGATTAAGAGAAGAGTATACTTATTGAGAGAAAAAAAGCTGCCTGAGAGAGAGAAGGTATCCTGAGCAGGTTGCCAAACACTGCCCATTCTAGGGACCTTTATAGAGTAAAATCATGTGGTGAAGTCAGTTTAAGGTGGGGAAAACTAGGAACTCACAATTCAGATGGGCATAAGATGGGACAGAGTTATGGTAGCCAATAAGATTATAAGTTCAGGTAAAGTTGATTAAATTGGTAACAAAGGGGGAAGGGAGTCACATAGAAAGCAGGCATTCTTAGACAGCTGTGTCTCTTCCCTTAGGGGTTTGGGAGGGTGACTCCTGAGTTCCTCAGGATGATAGGTACTATTTAGAATGTCAGTCTTTAGGATAAGGATACATTTCTTTGAATGGTGACTCCTGACTTCCTCAGAGTGCTAGGGAACTATTTAGAATATCAATCTTTAGGATATGGATGAATTTGCTTATCATTTGTCTTGAGCCTTGGCCCATAGCATGAGGTGTCAGTCTTCCCCATAGTTGCAAGGTATCCGGTCTCCTGCATGGGCTCCTTGGGGGATCTAGTCCTGTCTCATGCCAATAGTATTTAAATAACTCAGGTCCCTGTAACAGTACTGTTTGGAAAATTGATTACAGATGTCTTGTGCTCTGGGTGAATGATCTGGGGATGACAGTGTGCAATGTATATACCATTGTTGCCCCCTGATTGACATGTTTTGATTTTAATTTTAGTTGATGTGTTCTTTTTTCCTTGAAATAAAATGGATTTACAAATTAAAAGCCTGAGGTAAAGCTCTTCAGTACAAACACTCCTCTGTCGAGCTGAGTTCACCACTGTAGAAGAATGACAGCTGGAGAAGTCTTTCCACTACAGTCTATCTTTTAGGATCCACTCTTGCAGTGAGGGGTTCATTTCTCTGTTTATTCTTGACTCAGAAGGAGGGCAGTAGAGCAGGAGTCAGTCAGTGATGAAGGGGCAGGCTATATGAACTGTCCAATTTTCAGGCCATTGATGGCTGTGACTTTTGTTTCTTCTAGTGTCTCAGCATGATTTACCTTTTCTGAGTACAATACTGGTAGCAAAACACTTGCTGGATCCCATTTAGTACTTTTGATGTCCTGTGGCCTGATTAGCAAAGAACCTGAGAGATCCTGGATCCATGGAATAGTGAGGTTGTGGATAGGAGCCCAGAAATAGGATGGATTGGGTAAAACCAGTTACAAGTGTTTAGGAGTAGTTCCGGTGTCTGGAGCCTCAGGTATTTAGTTAGCTTAAGCTCCTGAGGTCCTCCAGTTTTGGCCATGGGTTATTCACTATCCCTTTTGCTATTGCTGTTGGCAAGGGTAATTTGGGGTCCCCAGAACCCTGGCTTCACTATGAAAGCAGCAGACTCAAGTATCATCTTTGAAATTCACTGCTAGCCTGGTAAGTCCACCATCTTAGGCATTAGGAGGAGCTTTGGAAGACCCTGACTATGATGCTTTTGTAGCTTGTAGGGCAGTAATGAGCTAGGTCTATGCTCTATTTCCTCAGATTAGCAGATCTGGAGTGTCCAGAGTTTATTAATGTATGTAATGCAGGGCCTCATAGCCACAATGGCTCAACTTAAACTTGGGCTTATTTGTATTTATAGTGATCTCCTAAATTTATAATATGTTCTCCTATTTCCATCCTCATGAAAGGTAGTGACAAAGGTCCTGAGAATTCAGAGGTGTAGTAGTGTGCCTCAGTGGAGAAAGGCTTCCCAAACAACTGGTGAACTCCTGTGTATTATACAGAACATTGCATAATAATTTCTGAACATACTTAGTTATTTAGGTGTCACCCCTGCTCACAGACTAGGTTTGTGAGAACAGCCATAGAGTTTTGAAGTCTGAGAAAAATGAAGCAAATATGAACGTGTTATCAAGCACAGGGTAAAAATTTGTGAAGGACAAATTCCAGAAAGGGCTACCTGTTAAATTCTCATGGAAAAATGCCAAAATTTAGGCATTTGCATGGACATATACACGTGATATCCTTCTGAATGGAAAGGAATAGGGGTGTCATCTCTGAATTAAGAGCTGATTTAGAAGCTTGGTTGTTAATAGTTTAAATATGGAAATTCTCTACAATGGACATATCTAAGTGGTGTAAATGAGAAGCCCTAAATAGAAATTTTGCAGCGATATCAATAGTTAGGCATGAAGTGTTTTCTGTTTGGATGAATCAGAGGAGTGTGGAAAAGATGTGGAAGTGACTGACAGGATGCAGGCAGCAAATAGCAGAACATACAACAGAGAGGGTCTTCACTGAAAGTTAGGTAGTTCTTAGAGTAAGTATGAAGTAAAGTTGGGTTCTGATTGCTTCCTTGAGGTGATCAACACCAGCTCTGGCAAAAATCGGTATTCCGCATCCCTGTCAATCCATGATTTTTTTTGTTCCATTGCAATTTAGATCTAATTTTGATTATCTCTAATTATGCCCCAGTGTCATGAAGGTGAAATTTTCAATTTTTTTGTACAAAGGATCGAATGCATGACCTATGCTTTCCAGACAGGCATTCATGCCACTGAGCTAAATACACCGCTATGAAAATATTTTCTGTGTAGTATGCAAGATATCCACATTGTTTCTCAGAAAGTGTTGAATATTGTTGGAATTTTTCTCTATTTTATGGCTATAATTTTTAAAAAACAAACCCAAGGTGTCTTATGCATTCTCTTTTTAAGTTTCACTTTGTCTGTTTGGTTTCTCAATCAGGGTTTGTCTATTTTAGATGGCTGTGTAACTTAGGATAGCCCCAAATTCAAGGAAGAAATCCTTCACCAGCATCCCAAGATACATTTCTTATATTTGAATTGAAAGTGATCACTTGGTGACAGTGAGGTATAATTTACAGCTTGGGCCTGGTTTCATTGTATATACATATTTTTAAAATACAGCTGTTTTCCACTAACACTTGAGTTATTATTTATATACTATATTTTATGTTATTTATGTTTTGTTCTATGAATCCAAATTAATGTTTCAAAATGCTGCTTAAGTATATTAAGAACAAAGTACTCATTGGCCTAAATGAGTTTTGAAGTGACATCATTTGTACTCTATCAAAGTGATTGATGAGATTTTTTATTTAATTTTGAAATTGGTAAAATACAACAGAACAAGGCAGCATAAGGCCAACTAAGTTCATACAGTGAAATTGGTACACAACTTCACAACAGGTTACTGGGATAACAGTAATAGGTATCACAGTATATTTTGTTATCTTTGTAATAGTTGTTCTTTAATCACATATATCAAAATGAGATGAAATACAGAACAATATAGAACTCATCAAAACAGAATATTGAATTGAGCAGTACCATTAATCAGAATAGAGTGAAACAATAATAAAAACATTTCCCTTCAAAGAGATAGTAGAAGGAAGTCCCCCTTACTTGCTATGATCTACTTCCCAGGAAACGCTCAGATTTCTGGTTCCCATTTGCTAATGGGGGGGGGGTGACAGGAGAAGAGGGGTAGGGAAGTGGGATGTTTGATTCTAGGCTGTGAATCAGTAGGTTCACTATTGCTTAGTAGGGAGACAGGCTGCTTGTTTGGATTCACAGCTTCCTAAGTTCCAACATAGCACGGATCTCAGGAGCTGCTGCCGGTTCTCCCCCTGGAAGGGCCGCAGTCTGCCAGACTGCCACTGCTTACCAGGGAGAAGTGGTGCTTAATTGGCCTCATAGTGTTCTAAATTCCAGCATGGCATGGATCACAGGAGCTGCTGCTGGTTTGCCCCTGGAAGGGCTGCAGTCTGCCAAACCACCACTGCTGACCAGGGAGGGGAGGTGCTTACCTAGCTTCCCAGTCAATTGATGAGATATTTATATGCCTCTGTGCTTTGCGGTTGCTGGTGCTGTAGGCTTCTCACTGTGAGCTCTGTTTTAGAGGCAGTGCACAGGGAGTCTTGCCATGATGTGTCACAAGAATCAGTGCTCTTATTTGGCTGTTACATTAGCAGTGAGTTGCAATCTAGCATCAAATTTGCTGTCTTCAAAAATGTGTATAGATACAAAATTAATGACCAAGACATGGATTTAAATTTGAACAAATCAGTCTTCATTGAGCTATTTTGTTTGGCTTTATTTGTTTAGTTTTTTTTTTTTTTTTTTTTTTTTGTCTTTTTCATTTTTATCGGTACCAGGGATCGAACTCACGACTGCCTGCTTGCAAGGCAGGCGCTTATGCCGCTGAGCTAAATCCCCAGCCCCCTATTTGTTTAGTTTTGTTTTGTTTTATTGAGACAAGCTTTTCGTATGTATATCAGCTGGATTTGAACACCCTATGGAGCCTAGAATTGCCCTGACCTCACTGATACCTTCCTGTCTCCACCTTTTGAGTGCTGCGATTATAAATATGTGCCACCACACTTTGCTTTTGATTCAGATTTCTAGGAGAGAATTTAAGATACCCCAAACCTGGGGTCTCAACCTTTCTTTGAGAAGTATGTGTATGATCCTTTAGGAGGCGGTGACCTTTGAGGATGTGGTTGTGAACTTCAGCAATGATGAGTGGACTTTGCTGAGTCCATCCCAAAAGAACCTCTACAGAAATGTGATGGGTGAAATCTTTAGGAACATGGCTGCAATAGGTAAGGATGAATACTTTTTGGCACTCATGCTGTCAGAATATTGTTTGTTGCTCATTAGTGCTGTTTCGTTAAAAACAATATGAAAATATTTTTAAAAATAGCTCAGACCTGGACACATTATATCGTAAATCTAAACAAAATCTATTAATTTGTATGTATTACTCAACTGAGTCCTGGTATTTCTATGTCTACAATTCAGGAGGACTTGGGGATATCCAGGAAGCTGAAAAAGAAGGCAAAATTTACTGGAGATACTTAAGGTAATTGACACTCACAAGGAGAGGAATGTTCCTGTGTAATTAGTGACTCAGCAGAAAAATGACCACCAGAGAAATGAGGCACCATTCAATTTAATGTCAGTAATATTCTCCAAAGATGTATAAGCTAGTGTATATACGAGGGAATTAAATCATGAAAATGTATGACATTGCATATAGATGTGTACGAAAGGCATACACTTTGAGTTATGACATTCTGCCTTCAGTTTTTCTATCCATATATACATGTGAATACAACACACTCATTATGTAACAATTGCTAAGATTGCAATAGAATTTGAAATAAAACTGAGTACTCATGTTTCCAAGCCATGCTCTAGACAATCAGCAATTCTGATTAATACTCTTAGTAGGCTGGTGGAATGTTAGTACACTCATTTTGAATATCTGTATGCAGGTTTCTCTAGAAATTGATCCCCTCATACTTGTCCTGGATATTTTTAAAATCTCAAAATCCACATAAAATACTGATACATGCTTACTCATATACAAAGCAGATCAAGTTATAACAGATCAGGCCTTGAAGCATATCTATCTATCACTGGATTTGTGGAGAAGGAAAATGTTAATAGACTCTCTGTGATTGTGCATTCTTGTAAACCCAGCACACTAGGAATCAGATTTTGCAGAATGGCAAATTCAAGTTCAAACTTCCCAGCTTAATGATCAGTGAAAATCTCTTAAAATAGATTTTTAAAAAGCTATAGATTTATGCTAATACCTGTTGTTCATTGCCAGCCCAGAAAAGAAAAATATGTGTTATATAATGTCAAAAAATATATAATATAATGTCATTTGCCATATGAATTAGATGGGTCTTTCACCCATCAATTCAGTGAAATAGCTCAGCTATAAAACTTAAAAGGTCACTGGGTTTCTTTTAGATGAGAAACCAAAATACAAAATGTGGAATGAAATGAAACAGAGTTGACAGAGAAAAGTAAGACTGACCATATCGAAAAGGGAACAACAGGTTAAGGACAGAAGGGAGATTGTGATGGCAAAACATATGAAAATAATCTGCGTGTGATACATGTATGTACCCATGCCCAAAATGAAGCTAAAGATTCTGCATTTCAAAGTACCAATTTTTAAGATTTCCAAATGTGTACCAGTCTTTTGGGAATGGTTGTTTTCAACATATCTTACAAGGCCATTCTGTTGCTTCATGGTCAGAATTTCTTAGCAGGCATTAAAAACAGAACTTGATATTAATGCAGTCATTAAATGGAGACCCATTTCACTGTGAATTTTTCTTATTTTAAATTTAATATAAGGAAAGATTAAATAAGACAAAATAAGTAGAAATAATACTGCTTTCAAAGTGAAAATAAGCAGTAAGAAATCGCAAGATGATGATTACATATCCTGCTCGTAGAAATAGTTATGAAATACAAAAGTGAAACATATGAAGTGGGGATTCAAACAGTGAGACTGCAAATAGTTTTGTTCAACTCTCCAAGAAAAGCTTAGTAATATGGTTATAAATCCTATATGTGATTTTTTCTTTACAGAAATTACAAGCTAGGGAAATCCTATGGACATACATCTTGGAATCAGTGTAAAGAAGTATTCCTTTGTATTGCAGAAGGTAATGTGAATGTGAAAGTAACAGAAACACACCACAATGTTCAGATCCATGAAAAATATTGCAGTGGAGGGAAACCCTATGTATGCAAGCAATGTGGGAAAGGTTTTACCACAAATGGAATTTGTAAGAAACATGAAAGAATTCACAGAGGAGAGAGACCCTACATATGTAAGGAGTGTGGGAAAGCTTTTACAACACGTACATATTGTCAAGTACATGAAAGTCTTCACTCCAGAGAAAAACGTTATAAATATAAGCACTGTGAGAAAGCTTTCAGCACATGTACTTATTGTGTAATCCATGAAAAACTTCACACTGGGCAGAAATCGCATATATGTAAGAAATGTGTGAAAGCTTTTAGCAGTAAAATTCATTTTCAAATACATGAAAATGTTCACACTGCAGAGAAACCCTATGTGTGTAAGCAATGTGGAAAAGGTTTCACCCAACTTGGACATTGTAAGGAACATGAAAGAATTCACACTGGAGAGAAACCATATATATGTCAGCAATGTGGAAAAAGATTCACCAGATCTGAACATTGTAAGCAACATGAAAGAATTCACACTGGAGAGAAACCATATGTATGTAAGCAATGTGGGAAAGCTTTTAACACACATGCAAGTTATAAGGTTCATGAAAGAATTCACACTGGAGAGAAACCCTATGTATGTAAGCAATGTGGGAAAGCTTTTAGAACACAGGGAGAATGTAAGAATCATGAAAGAATTCACACTGGAGAGAAACCATATGTATGTAAGCAATGTGGGAAAGCTTTTACCAGACCTGGACATTGTAAGGAACATGAAAGTATTCACACTGGAGAGAAACCATATGTATGTAAGCAATGTGGGAAAGCTTTTACCAGACCTGGACATTGTAAGGAACATGAAAGAATTCACACTGGAGAGAAACCATATGTATGTAAGCAATGTGGGAAAGCTTTTAACACAAGTGCAAATTGTAAGGTTCATGAAAGCATTCACACTGGAGAGAAACCATATGTATGTAAGCAATATGGGAAAGCTTTTAAAACACAGGGAGATTGTAAGAAACATGAAAGTTCACATTCAATATAAAACCAGTGTATATAGGCATCATGAGAATGGTTTCAGCACATGTACATATTGCATAATGCATGAAAATTTTCACACTGGGCAGAAAACTTACATATGTAAGGAATGTGGGAAAGGTTTCAGGAGAAATGCTCATTGTCCAATACATTATAAAATTTACATGATTGAAAAACCCTGTGTATGTGAAGAATGTGAGAAAGCTTTCACCACACATTGATTTTGTAAAATACATCAATGACTTCACACTGGTGAGAAAGCCTATGTACATAACAATGTGACAAAGCTTTTACTGCATATAGTCATTGCAAAACACATGAAAGAATTCACACTGGGAAGAACCACTGGCTATGTAAGCAAGTGGAGACATTTTCAGCAGCCAGATTGTAAGTGAAATACATGAAAAAACTCACACAAGAGATAATTCCTATGTGTTATGGGAATACTCTCAGCATACTTGATCATTGTTACATATCTGAAAGAGCTCACTGGGCAGAGATGCTATGGGATTAACAATGTGAGAAATATGGTAATCCATGTTTCTTGTTAAATACTTAGAAAAAGCATCACTGTTCAGACAGTTTACTTTAAAAATCCCAAGGAGACCTGAAGAAATAATCAATACAGAAGTTTGATGTCAATATTTCTTCACAAATATTCCAGAAATGACAAATCTGAGGTGGATCTCTACTCAATTGCATATGTTTTTTGATTTTCAGTTAATCACTGTACCTCTCTAGATTTTTTAAAGTGTTTTTGTGCTTCAACATGGCATCTTGTAATTAAACATGCTAAACTGAAATGGGCTTTTTCACTTTCAAGTATGGATAGTGCCTATGTACTTAATATTTTGTCTTTAAAACTTAAATTTTATATTTTTTGGTGAATTGTAATGTTGTTTATTTAAAGAGAAAAAATGTAGAAATAATACAGAATTTCAGAAAAATAAACAATAAGAAATCACTAGTTGACTAGTATCATATTGTCATCTTAGAAGTAGTTGTTCAAGTTACAAATTTAAAGCATACAAAGTGATATTCAAATAATGACACTATCAACAGTTCACCTCAATGATCCACCAAAAAGTTTTTAATATGCCTATCTGTCCTACACAATTTTTTTTCTTAAAGAGGGTAAGATTAAACATGGCGAAACAGAGCAGAACAGTTCATAAGGAAACAAGTTAAGGAAACACAGATTTCAAAGCAAGTCCACTGGAATTGTTCACTGTCTATCTTACTGTCTCTATTTTTCTTCCAAATAGTTGTTCCCATCCTCACACACAATGAATATATACTGAATATTATAGAACTAATCAAATAATTACAGGATGATGCAGGCTTTTTCAATATTCAAGACTGATTTTGGGGAAGTCGATATTGACTACCATAATGTCTCTCATTCTCTTCATAGTAGCTGTCTTTATCTTTATGTATGCTGAAATGGAACACAAGAGACTAGACTAATATCACTCTGAACAGTGAATAATAGTATCCTGAGAAGGAGAAAGCTGAGGAATTGCCTAATAAAAGAAGGCAGAGGACATTGTTAAAAGTGTATCAGGACTTAAAAGCTAAAGAAGTCTTGTTGTTCTGTTTAGTTTAATTATATTTTGTTCTGGTCTGTCTACTCATATTAGATTTGAGGGCACAGAGAGATAACCCAAAAATATCAGGTTATACCATGGTAATTATCCTTAATTTCCTATTAACTAAAACTGAATACCTATATTACTTACATTGTCTTCTATGACTGATCTTCTTTGAAGCTGGATTGTTTCAATGTTATTTGGCCTTGAGTGATTTTATTCACATTTGGTATGCTTGTTGGTATCAAGTTCAAGAGCAGAGGCAACTACTCTGAAGATGGAAAGATGTAAAAGATATCCATTGGTGTGCTGGGGATTTAGCTCAGTGGCTTAAGCACCTGCCTGGCAAGGGTGAGGTCATGAGTTTGATTTCCAGAGCCAAAAAAATAAATGAATAAAAGATATCCATTCCAGGTTTGATTATTTTTTAATTAAAGAGAAAAAAGAAAGTAAATAAAAAACAAAGCAATAAAAGGGTACAAGTAATACAGAATTTCAAGAAAAAATACAGTAAGAAATCACTAGTCAATAGGTTACATATTGTCATCTTAGAAACAGTTGTCCAAATTATAAAATTAAAGCATATAAAGTGGACATTCATACAGTGAGGTTGCAGAAAGTTCTGTTCAGTGATCCAACAAAAGCTCAGTAATATGGTTTTCCATCCTACACACTCAAGCATGCAGTTATATCCCTTAGACCACCTTCTTTTCCTCTCTTTTTTTACAATAACAATTACACATTTTGAGTTTTTTTACTCCCACAGTTCTTATTACATTTTTTGAAGAGAATAAATCCTAACATGATTAAATAAAACAGTCAGTTAGAACAGAAGGATGGGCATAGTACATGATGCAAAAATAGAATATCAGATGATCAAAAATGGTTACCATTGTGCCTCTTGCTATTTTTAAAAAGAGTTCCTATATCATCAGGTATAATAGAATTGATCAAAACAGTACAGAACAAGACCAATAAAACCTACACTGGAGACCTTGCAATATTTCAAAAAAGATCATAGTCAAACTATAATGGGCATCATAATAAATCTTATTGCCTTCAAAGTGGTTGCCTATACCCTCAAACTTGATACTATCAAACAAAATAGAATATAGTAAAATCAGAACAAGATGTGGAGAGCAATACTGGGGTTCAAATCAGGTTAATAGGAAAACAAATAATTACTATAATATATCCCGCTATTTTTAAATTTAGTTTTCCCTTAATTGAAAAAAATAAAATAGTTTAATTTAAAAAAAAGGTTGGAGATTGAGATAAAAGAGGACATTGTAATAGAACAACAGTGGTCAGAATGGAACAATTTAAGCATAATTGTGTTTCACTCCCAGAAAATCTAACATAATAGTAACCATCAAAGTGCCTCATTCCTTGAATTATTTGAGTATAACTTTGTATACGATAGCATCAAGCATATCAAGACAGTGTGAAGCCATTCAACAGAATGAAAGAATTACAGGGTATTTAGACTCAGTTAACAGAAAACGAACAATGGTTTCTATAATATCTCCTTGCCTATAAAAATTTTTCTTTATACTATCACATATAGTAAAATATAGTAAGATACAACATGTTAAAACCAGTGGAAACAGATAGTTTGTGAGAGAGGGACCATTCTTACACCACTGAGATTGAGCCCAGTATTGATCATGTTGGTTAATTTTGAATATGCTGGTGAGTTAATGTTGCAAACATTTAGCTGAACAATTTTGTGTATGTTTGGTAGGAATATTAGCCAGCAGAGTGTTTTCATTTATGTTATTTTTAACACATTATTGTCTGGCTTCATTCTCAGGATAACATTAACTTTGTCACTTAAAAGAAGTTGGTGGTGGGTTTTCCTTCAACTTGATTGAAGAATTGAAAAACAATCAGTATTCTTTATTATATACTGGATAAAATTCACCAGTGCACTTTTTGTATGCCAGCTTTGTTGTTGTTATTAAGCAGCTGTGATTTTTACCCATTGCCTGTACTCCTTATTGCTCTGTTAATCAGACTATTTCCTTCTGATGCATGTGGTTCGGGGACAGCAATGGACACCACATATCCATTAAAGGTCACATCTTATTTTATTTACGGATGCTACCATTTACTTTTCTATCATCAAACTATCTCTATAATATATAATTTTGTAAGTAACTCCTTTCAGTTACTCAGATTTAATGCACATTCTTGCAGGGTGTGGTTACTGCTGGTAGAACCTGGGCCTGGTGAGGGCCTGGTCTCTTATTTAAGGCTCATACCGTGACCTGCCTTCAGTGTCCCCATCTCCTGACCTGCTCCCTGTAAACACCTGTCCTTCTCCATAGCTACGGTGAATCCACATAAGGCAGTTCAGATCTGCACCTGGGTGGAAAACATTCAGTCAGGTTGGGCTCTGTAACAGACTGACCTCATACAGAGCTCCCCTGAGTTAGACAGGGAGCTTCAGGCATGTAGGGAGGAGCTCTGAAACCATTCCCGCTCTCTCCTGTCCAGTATGGAGTGTGTGATGCCTCCCTTAGAACTCACTGATGAATGAGGCAGCCTGGACTGGGCCTTTTTTAGCTATGGTTCCTGCTAGGTGCTATGGTGTCCTGCTCCTCTGCCTCGACCATCTCTCTGACTTCAGATCTCCACAGAGATTTGAGCAGACTCAGTCTTCCTCTACCAGGCTCTAACTCTATGCTGAGGATTCAGGTGAAATATCTGCTACCCTCAAATTCATCTTATATACATTTAACCTGGAAATTCCACTTCTAAGGGTCATTATAAAAATGAAATTGATAGACACCATATTCTCTTCTTAATCAGTTAAGGTGTGGACAGTTAGAAACCATGAATGTTCGACAGCACAGCTGCTGAGTTAATTATAAATTACAGACACTGAAAAATGCTGAAAGAAGGCCATATCCCTGATCTTTCCTGAGATGGAAGAGAGCTTGTGTCCTGACACTCTCTCCACCCAGCAGTGAAGAGACAAAGACCAGCACAGCAGTTGAGGACAGGAGAGAGGAGCTGGTCAATGGCAGACCTCTCATCCTGGGAGGGATGCCTTTGTGGTTTTTCCATTTTATTTTCCACTGCATTATTTATAGTGCTCCATTCAATATTACTTCTCATCTGTTCAATTCACTTAAGAATAAATAGTTGGTATCTTCTTTAATAGGTGAGTAGAAATGGATGACTTAATACTCTTTTATATGTAATGTAGGATATGCATATAGAAGAACATTCAAGCTTCACTTTATAGACATATAAAACAAGGAGTCTTTTTATTCAGAAAGGCAACACATCATTCATGACTAACTTCTAAACCCCCAACACATGAAGCCATGCGGATCCTGCTCTGGTGGGTGTCCTGCCCTCCCTACCTGAGAAGTCATTGTGTTCATCTCTGTCTGGTAGAGGACAACCAGAATCTTCTTCAGAGTCTCTTTTTCCAGCAAGGAGGTCTTGAGTCTTCCTGTCCTCAGGCCAAGCAGGGAGTGTGCAACATGCAGAGGAGCCCAGCACCTCCTGCCTTACACCCATTTCCACCACTGCATCCATGCTGCAGCCCTGCAGGCCCAATAAGGCAGAGCCACCAGGGTGCAGGAAAGACTCTGCCACCTCAGCCCCAGGGGCCTCAACTCCTGGGTCCTGGCCTCAGCCCCCACCAGGCTCCAAGCTCTGCCTTGGATTGGACATTCATAGCGGGCCAGACACACCATCAGTGCCTTGGGGCAAAGTCCATTTTCCACAGTGACAATTCCATTCTTCAAATTTTGATCCTTTCCTTTCTAAATGAGGCTGAGGCTTTGGAGACAAAACCCCACACATTGTCATTACTTTTTGTTTTTCTTTCTTTTCCTTCTTCTTTTTCCTCCTCCTCCTTCTTCTTCCTCTTCCTGTTTGTCTTCATCTTTGTGTTCTTCATGGTTTCTTTGATGCTTTAAATACATATTTAGAGGTGTATTTTGCCAAAAAACTTTCCTTGTCTTCTCACACCCCAGTTAAAGGAAATTTTTAAAGCTTTCTGCTGCAGTTCACACCCTATGTGTTTGAACACTCAGAATCCATTTTCAGGGATGTGTGCCTGCATGTATCAGGTTTAGGAGACTCAGCATTTTGTGTGCTTATTGGCCATGTCTGGTGATTCCCTTTGAGTTAGAAGAATTTGTCATTTCCCTCACAAAATGGAATCATGAGACCTCTTTCATACTTGTAATAAAAACCATCTATCTGACTATTTGTTGTAAAGAAAGGTTTCCTGTTGTGATTTTTGCATTATTGTTATTTTTCAAATGCAATGAATCAGTCATTTGTAGCTCCCTTTGTATCACTGAAATCATGGAAAACATTTTCCGACATGAAAAGATGAGTACATACACAA